CAGACGCGCCGACAGAGGCAGTACTAGTCTTTTGTTTGTTAAATAATTATCTGCACGTATCTCACCCAGTTTATCGTGATTCTCTTTATTTTTCTTGTCTCGTATCTTTATTCTTACTCTTCCGTGTAAAGGAAACCTTCTGCTAAACCGTGATATCGTAGGTGATTTACCCGCGATCTAAAAGAACTGGCGTAACAATACTAAAATAACTACATTGAATTAAGTATATATTATAGCCTAACTACCCTTCACACTGCTAAGGAAAAAATCCTATGAGTGGGCTAATAGGATATTTAGTCTATTATAATCTTTTCCTCAGAATGGTATCAGTCTGCGTTATTCATCACTCAAATAAATTCTCTTTTTACTTTAGAAATATCTTACTTCTGATAAAATTTTGAGAAGAGTAGTATAGCGTGAGGAATCTCGATCATATTGATCTTCACAAATGTAACAGCCTGCTTGATAATACTTTTCAGCTCATTTTGAGATATTCAGGAATTGTCTTTAATTCCTTGATAGATAACAGACCTAACGGTAATGTCCTCTTTCTCAGCATTTAACAAGAAATTGTAAATTTTAGTGTATAAATTGGCAGGCATGCTAAAAATAAAAAAAAAGTTATAATAGTCATCACTTCAGTATACTACCCTTTTAAATGACTCCATTTACATTCTCTTTAGACTTGTATTCATGTTGGAGGGGAAGAGACAGGAGAATATGCAACAGATCCTTACGCTAAAATTTTGCATTAGAGAATAAGAATATATGAAAATATGCATTAAAGATCTTGACATTTAGAAAAATATTGGGGGTAATGCACATATAGATTTTTTTCATCTGTCTGAATATACTATTATTAGGAAAGATTATCTTCTGCAGGTCTATAACTGAAGAAGGGATCGATTTATGTGTGAAATTATTTTGTCTACAAGCAGATGGTCGCACTTACATAAATGATTGGTAGTATATCACTATTACATCATATATGCAGAACAATATTTTATTAAGATAATATTTAGGATCTTTCTCGAAAAATACTTTATTAAAATTATTATACAGGATCTAATCCTGCAGTAAGTGGATACATTTCACAATTTTACCAGGCGATCATGTATGCAGATTATATAGCTATTCATTTCGCAAACAAAAATAAAGTATAAGTTATGTTTGGTTAAATATGGGCTGCCTTAACAGTTAAGTTTATTTTCTTCCTGTCAAACAGAATTGAAGTATGCTTCAGTCGCCTAAATCAGTCAAGCCAGTTAGATAACTGTGATTACTCTCCCATCCCTTAATCTCAACATAGTGTTTTTTGGCTGTTTTGCATACAGAGACAAGATAAATAATTTGCCTGTATCACTTTTATAAGAAGTTGGAGAAATCACTTCTTGCCTGGTAGATGAAATACAAGCTGGCTCTGGAGTACTTGGCATAGTAATTTTTTCTAATATTGCTTTAGACTGGGCATATGCTTTATAGCTAGATGTTAAATCCGTATCATGATCATATGATATTAATGTCAATTTATCCTTTTCTGAATGTGAAGTAGATTGGGAGAAAAATTTTAGGCAGAGATGATTAATTTTAGCCTCTTCTTGTAATATGTATTGTTTATATTGTCAGATCTTAAATTTCCTTATATCGATAGATTCGAGAATTTCATTTTTTCTTACATGTTTATTCGAAATAGTATTTTCAGAAATACATCTTTTCAAGTGATTATCTCGATAGAAATCGTCTAAAATAGAATATTTTTAGGAATGAAAACTAAGGAGTCGCACACACTACAATATATATAATTTGATGGCAAACCATATATTGCATCACAGGAGTTATGTATTCCATATATTGTAATATATCCATTTCTAGAAAGAATTCTTAGATTTTCTTTTAGTATTTTTCTAAATAGATCTCTAATACGAGAGCATCACATTTCTGGTATTTTGTGAGCATGTCTTTTTGTTAAAGGTGATATTGCATTCAATATTCTTATATATTCTTCAGAGCCTCTATAAGAATTGTATACATTAATTAACTTAGAATATGTTTTACTATCTAAATTCATAATACTGTTTTATTAGATTATAACAGGTTATAACGATTTTAAAGTATTTTATCGATTTTAGCAATTTCACTATTTTTTATGATTTATAGCAGTTTGTAGCAAGTATATTATAATAAAATATCAGATTCATTTTTATTTGATTACAAGCATATTATCTGAGGTTTATATAAGGTTCACATCTGGCTATGTGTCGCATGTAAGGGATTTTCCAATGGCAGGTTAAATTAGTTCGAGATAATAGCTAATCAAAGGTGTATGATGTATATCATATTACAGGAATCAGACGTTTTACATGTGGGCAAAAATAATTTATTAAATGCTTTATATATTTACAATGTTTTCAAACTACATATAAATTGATTATCAAAGAATCTTTTTCACTACTATTCATGGTATATATGTTCACAGGTGCAATAAATAGGATACAGTAAGCATATAATAGTCACATTAGTATCAACTCGAGAGGATGTGATCGGCATTGAAAAAATGTTCTATAATATTATGAATTTGTGTGAAGGTTAGCTTTAAAATGTAATCTGCACTATATGATTTAACTCGCTTAATTTTTGACATTCCTATCCCTCTAATTTCTTCACGAGATGTGGAGTGACAGTTTTGTCCAAACAATTTATAGATATTTCTAGCTTTAGCGGTCTTCTTACACAAACTATCTTTTGTAAAGCCAGATAAATGTTATGCACTTCTTCATATACTCAGGTTCTAGCTTGTTGATCATTAAGCCTGCTATTACTATTCATGATCTCCTTGACTCTTTTTTCAAAGCTTTCTACAAATTGATACTAATACAAAATTTCATCTTGGTTGGCCTTCATGACACATTTTTTCGTGAGACTTACTTTTTTATATAATCGTATCAAATTTTGTGAAATAGATTCCCCATCCTCTTCACTATCATTTTCTTCTTCAGGTTCTCCTTTAGCAGGTATAGACAATTCTTGCAACAAACCTTGTACCTTGTCCTGTTCGTGAGAAATTTTGGGAAATGATTCCCTTAATAACTGAATTTGTGCATTATTAGTATTGTTTCTAGCTGTTTGATTAGTTAAATTATCTGCAGAACTTTCCACATCTATAGTAAGACTTGTTATTTGATCATGTGTAATAGTTTTAGTTATTTTTTCCCCTTGACTCACAAGAGAATCATCATTTATTAATCCTAGGTCAAGCAAAAGTTCTGATTCACTTCTTACAGTATCATCACTTAGGGGGCCTTTTTTTCTAAAATCCTTATCCTTAGATATTCACCAGAAGCTAGTATAAGTTTCTTATTAACAAGTTCGATAGGTGATATACAACTAGAAATAAGCATAAAGAAAAATGCGTTTCTGATCGTATAATATATTTTTCAAGACATATTCAATAATATATATGTCTATATGATAATACTGTGAATAAATGAAGTGGTAAGGCAAGAATTCTTTCATCGCAGAAGTGGCAAGGATTAAGTTTCAGGATATATTTATCAGTTATTTTAGAAGTGTTTTTAGGAAATTTAACAAAAGTGTTTTAAGTTGAAAAACCTTTGTATCATCCGCATGGATTTCTGAAGGACTTGCTGATATTTTGCTAGTCATACTGTTAAATCATAAAGATTTCTTGCCCTTTTCCCCCTACATAAATATTTTTCATATATCAAGACTAAAACGAAATTAGCCTTACCCCAAGAATTTATCTTAGAAATGAATGTTTCAGAAATAAGCATCTCAGAAATGAACATCATGAAATAAAAATCACGAATAAATCAGAACTAATGATGAAAAGATATGTCACAAAAAAAGACTACTATACCTCCAGTTAAGGCTATGATTGTTGTAAAATATGAAAGCTCCTGAGATAAATATGGTAATCCCTCTTTCGATCAAAGATCTTTAGGAGAAAAGTTTTCTAATTATTTCTATACACCAACTTCAAAAAAAATTTTCACTAAACATTGTTGGCTTATCTTTCGCAATACCAAAGAGAGTAGAATTTATTTTTGAATATCTTCTGCCACTCTCTATATTTTACAGATACTATTAAAATTCTACGATTAATAGGATCTTTGTATTTGATATGATAAATTTGTTCACTGTAATATTCATCCACACCCCACTCACCTCTTATATCACTCTATAAACTTTCTTTTTTATGGTCTCCCTTACATATTGGACAAAGTGTTGAGTTATTAAGATTAAACTACTCACAACGTTCACTACTATCTCTCAAAGATAAAGAAGAAAACCGCTCTAACATTAACCCAATGATATGTTTTCATTTCTCTTCAGGATCTTCAGGTAAGATAGAAATCAGAAGCCCAGACTTCTTAGATGATATTACCTGAGACACCAATAATATACTCACAGCTACTGGACTAATTTTAGAGGAACTATCTGAAGAATTGCCATTAAGACACTTTGCAGAGATGTATGTTAAATTAATAGGTGTGATTGAGACGCTTACCTTAGCTGAGTCTAAGAGATTTACTTATACCTCTGTTACATTATTCTGATTGTTATCTTGTTCTTCATCCTCAGGATTATCAGTGAATTCCATATTTAGTTTTTTGGTGAAGTGATCTATAATCATTTAAATCTGAGAATTAGAAAATTTTGAAATAGTATCTGCACTATAGGTTTTTATGTATTGAATCTTATCCATTCCTATTTTTTCGAATAAATTATCGATTCTTAAAGCTCTCTGTGTCTGCTTACATAAGGTTTTATGCTTGGTGTCTAGAAGTTTCTTGATAATAAAATTGTATACAAGTCCTTTTGCTTTCTTCTTTCTAACTCCATCACTGATCATAAAATCTCTATAAATGCTTTTGAATTTCCTAGAAAAGAGACACCAATATAGTATTTCTTTTCTATTGGCTTTGATTGTGACATCTTCAGTATTACATGCGTTTTTGTAAAGACTAATAATATCTACACTTCTCTCTCAATCTAGCGGGAGCTGGGATGTGTCTAAAATAGATTGAGTTGTTGAAGCAATATGATTTGATAGCTCCAGTATTTTTTCTTCCTTAGATAATATAATTTCCCGAATCAAGCCCTGGAAAGTCGAAGGTAGTTCCTAGACAATTACCTCATGCAGAAGTTTTTTTTCTTATTGCATTACCTTATCCCATCACTGACACTTTTCTTTTGCACTGAGTCTAAGAATTTATCAGTCTTTCTATCGTCTTCGCAAAGTGAAGGGTTTGCAGATATTGTTACCTTTAATACTACATTACTTGCTTTGCAGTCAAGCTTATAATGCTTGAGCTAAACTGTCACATAGTCAAGTACATCAACAGCCCCTGCCTTTGCTAATTCTTTCTTGAGAAAAGAATTTCCAATGTCCTGGCTTTGCTGTTTGACCTCCACATTATCATTCCTTAGTTCCTTTATTTCAGCCTTGAGTTCAGCAATCTCAACATTACGCCTAGCATTTTCAGCATTACGCCTGATATTATCCTCAATAATCTGTCTCAGTTTCACATTCTCAACCTCAATCTTACTGATCACAGTCTCAAGCTCAGTAAATTTCTTCCCAACTTCAGAAATATCAGGATTCTCGATCTCAATCAGCTCAACGATATGCTGTCTCAATACTTCAAGTTCAGATAACATGATCGATATCATTCTACACTGTATATAAGCATTTAAAATTGATAAAAATATAGGTTATTTTGTATTTGATTTAGGCGACCTTAGGTTACTGAAATTTAAATTTTCATCTCCAAACTGCTCTAAACTTTAAGGAATTACATTGATTGATTTTCAGCATTTTGCGGTCTCCTAAAGGGACCTTACTAAGAAAAAAATCTAATTAATGATCATGCAAAACACCTCTCAACACGCTCTGGACTAGCTAGATTGGTCAGTCAGTATGTCATCGAAAATTATCGCAATTGTATTGAAATTAGATTGCCTGTGTATCTGATGTAGAGCTGAATACCGAATATCTTGCATACTTAGATTTAAAATTCTCTGAGCTAAAGTTTGTCTACTAGCAACGTTAGCTTGTCTAAGATAATCACTAAATACTGTAACAAAATCAAGGGATGATAAAGTGTTTACATAATTCTCGATATGAATATTTGGATTAAGAGAAACGAGCTGATCTATGGCTTTTTTACTAATATTACTACACCCTTCCAAATTAAGATACTTTATGTTAAGACAAGATCTAGCAATTTTTTCGATAGTTATATCAGTGATTTTACAATAGGTAAAATCAAGTTGTTGGAGTCTTAGGCAAGAGCGAACAATATTACAAATTGATATTTCAGAAAATTCTATATAGTTAGAGATATTTAGATATTCTAGTTTCTGGCATAATTCTGCAATTGTAATTAGACCTATATTATTTTTTGATTGTAATTCCCTAAAGTGAATATATTAAGATACTTCAAATTTGGATATGATTTTGCTATTAGCTTTAGTGTTTTACTAATACAGTTTGTATTTCATTCAAAATCTAAATGAACTATATTTTGAAAAGTATGCATAATGCCTTTGATTTTTCTATTAGAAAGTCAGTAATGCAATATTTTAAGATGAGTTAATTTCGAGCTATAGACTGGTTTTCTTCCTCCTCCAGGTACTATTTTTAAAAATTTTTCTAATTGAGTTTGATCCTCTGCTTTCTCTCCCTTTAACTCAATGCGTTTTCATAAAATGGAAGCATCACATCTATACCACAATTGGGAAATATATAGAGCAGAATAGAAAGATTTATCTATCGCTAAGAAATATAAAATCTATTCTAATAGTTCTAGTAAATAAAAGATGCTTGATTGCGTCATAAATAATATATGCTGTATCTTTAATAAAAAATAGCCGTTAGCCATAAAGACGCTTCGCAAGGTGCTTTGTAAATTACGTAAGTGATGAATCTAGCAAAATTTGCTAAAGGTACGTTGCTAGTAGCTATATATATTGATAATATCAGATATTTCATCATTTTCTGTAGATTCTGATTTTGGATCTAAGTTATGCTTATCTTTAGGTTCAGAGTCCTCTGATTCTATATCACCTATAGCATAATTATCACCCACATTAAAGCGGTCAGATTCTTACCTTAATGCGATTCTCAAAAGTACTTTAAAATAATAGGGAGTTGGATTCTTATCACTATGAATTCTGAAAGCGTGTTTACTTCCATAATCTCTTAATTTTTTAGGTATAATTCTATAAGGCTCTTGCTTTAAGAATTCGTTAAATGGCCAAGCATTACGTGTTCTACTTTCAGTAAAAACAGGATCAGATAACTTTTTAACCTTAATTGCATCTTGAATTCAGGTGAGTAATTCCCTGACACGTTCTGGATTCTTCTCCATGAAAAGAAATAGTTGAGGATTAGGATTCTTCTTCTTTTCTCCTCTACTCTTTAAATAGTCTATATAGTACCAAGAATAGCTTTATTTATACTATGATAGAATGTTTAAAGAGTCCAGTTTATAGTAATTGATCTGGAGAGATCTTACTTCTGCAGGTCTCATACTCAACATCACTATCACATCTGTGAGATTCTCTCTAGTAGGAATTTTGAAAATATTCATGTTCTGAATCCTTTTACTCACATTTATTAAGAAGAAATGTATGAGAATTCTGTCCAGATTAGCCATTCACTTTTTAGTTCATTCTTTCTGAATTTTATTAGAATCTTAGATAAGATCCTTGTCTTTGACAAATTCTTCAATAATTGCAAGATCTACATCACCTTTTGCTAACTTTACACAAAATGTTGACTGACACGATATACTGGCACTAATCTTCTTTTCACCTTTATTTTTCAGACCCACTGCCTAATGATTAGTGATAATATCTATAAAATCACCAGCCTTAGCACAGTATTTTACCCTTTCCTCTATGGTAAGCTTTTCCTTTCTTTTATCTGACAGGAGAGTCTCTATTTTTTCTTTACTAAATGAATGTTTAGATTTAATAAGAACTACCTTAACACATCTACAGGCCATTCAATCAGGAAGCAAAGCATCAAGTTCAGAAGTATGTTTGCTTAATTGTTCTGGGGTGGAGTCAGCTGACAGATTATGCTTTTCTAGGAACTGCTCTAAGATGGCAGTATAGTTATTAGTTTTGGGTTTTCAAGTCTTTAGAGCGGTTGCTTTAGTAGCCATATATATACTAACTATTATCTAGTTATATTATGTGAGAAAAAATTCAATTCGAAAAAAATATCCCACCTAGCCAATGGTGATTTGCATGAGCATTTCTTCAATTGTATCTCAGAGATATGTGACACATTTTTGAATACCTATAATAAAGTGAAAGTGAAGTTTTGAGATTATTAGTATCAAAATTACCTTGTATGGGTCGTTTTATCTACCAATACATCAAGAAAGATAATTCGATCTGTGAGAAAAGATGCATAAGTGAATTAGGATGTGCCAGACATTATAATGCCCTTCTTAGAACAATATGTCTTATCCGTAATGAGCTAACATATTCTGATACTAGAATCTGTAGCATACATAAAAGAATTTATAAAAATGTCTGGCGTGAAGGTAAAAAAGTTAAAATAGAATTAGACATGACTGAGACACCTAACTGAATAATAATCTGGCTAAAGTATTATTTTTCCTATCTTATAGAGTCAAAGAATTTCTGAATATCATTATCTGTTTTCAGCCTATATAGTGGAAGCTCTAGAACGTCTTTATCTTCAAAATCAGTACTATTATATGATTTAAGATCTGGTATTTCTTTTGTGCAAGATTTAAATTCAAAGAGTAATAAGGATTGATTTCAGATTTTCATAAATCTTTCACACAATTGTGCAAACGCTTCTGAAATAATATTACTCAAAAGAGTACGTATATCATCAATGCTAGTAAAGCCTAGTATTTGAAAAAGTTTTGTATCACCTTCCACTGTTTAAACAAATATGCCTTTCGTAAATCAATTAAAGATGGATCTAAGGAATTATACGATTCCTTCCACTATATAGTTTCTTTAGTTTTTAACCCTTCTAAAACTTTTATTGAATCTGAACTTTGTCTTCGAAAATATGCCAGTCTTCTAAAGTGTCATAAAGGTTCAGGGTTATTAAATTTTTTTACAAAACTGTTATGGCATAGATTAATCCATTTGGCATCATCCATGCCTCAGTCCCGATTATCATCCTTACTTCCAATATCTCCTGAAGCGTATATTCTCTATAAATAATATCATTGCAATATCATATTATCAGTAAATTAGCGGGTGGAAATTTGTTTAAGAACTTCAGTATCATCTAGGGTGATATCAGATGCGTTGACTATTAATTCTGCATCAGAGTCTTTGATATTTTCTTCAACCGTCTTAATAATGTTAGAAATCATTTTCCTATCAGCTATAGTATCTTCTATAGAAATAATTTCAAATGAAGCTCCTATACTAAAAATAAGACCGCAAAGAATTTCAGAAAAGTACTTTGCTGATAAGCATCTCTGGTATTCAGCCTCAATATATGTTTTGACCGCTAAAGATACATCAAGAGCATAACAATCAGCAATTTTATTTCATTCCTGATGCCCTTTTACTGTTATTGGTAAATCAATAGGTCTTAAAGCAGAAAGTTCAGCATGAATAAGACTACGATTTGGCTCTTGAAATATTTCAAAGGACTTCTGACTATTATATAAAGAAATTATACATTGTGGACAATCCCGAATTTGATAAAGCATCTGTACAAAAGTTTTGACATGTACTCTTGTTTTAATATTGCTAATTCTTATAATAGTGTCAAAATGATTAGAAATTTCAAAGGAGATGTCAGCTTCTACAGTACTTGTGTAAATTACGCAGTCAAGAGAACTCCAGGTAGTATTAATATTAGTAAAATCCTCTTGTTATTGCATTCCATCCATTTTGCCAAAATAAACATGAGTTAAAATAAGTAAACCATACGGTTTTTGTAATGCGAAAGCTTAGTTTGCTAAAGCTCAAGCTTTTTTACATAATGTCATTGCAAAAGTAACACACTTATCTTCTCAGAGCATCTTAAGACCTCTTCTCATAGCCTCTGAACCTTTGTCTGGATCATAAAAAATTTTAACAGTTTCGCCTATATGTGGTTGATATTTATTATTGAAAATTCATATATCATTACCTCAATATTGTTTTAAGAAAGCTATAGTGGAGTTATTTGCAAAAGCATCCATAACCACAATATGAATAGCTGACTTTAGCAAATCTCGCATAGCATTTTCAGATTCTTGCGCATGAATACTACTAGACATTTGGCATATAACTGCATTGATTTCATCTAAAATAACTACATATGAACGTCTTCTATAAAGCTCAATATGATATGTACTTTCAACCTGGATGATAATAACATCCCAATTACTTATAGTTAAATTACTCTTAACTTCTTGATATTGGCATACGTAAAGTCCTAAATTTTGTAATATTTCAATTTTAGCTTTAGTCTCATTGGTAAGAGTTTTGCGATATGAAATCCAGATAAAGCAAGGCAAATTTTCTTTATTTCCAGCTAAAGAGTTGAGAATTCCTCTTAAAGCTTTTGTTTTACCAGTACTTATGGGTGAACGGATAAGAGTTGTATTACATACAGAACTTAAGAAGTCTGGATAAGCTTTTGGAGCCTCTTCCATCTCTTTTACATTAACCTGTCATTCAATTCCCATTTAGCTCTTTCTTTCGACTTAATTATACCTGATACTTCTCCAAATGCTAGTCCTTTATGATCTGGCTTATATTGATTTTGCTGATAGCATTTAAGTACAAAATGGCCATTATTTCGAAGAAAACCATATAATTGATCTCTTTCATATTTGATTCCGCAAATAGGACATACTTTATATGACTTTGCTTAGAAGTTGACAAATCCTTTTCTAATGTCGCCAATCTCAAGCCATTCATATTTTACAGTAACTTGACTAACCCCTTTGCTTAAAGCAGTTTCATCTTCGATAGGTTGAAATTTATCCTTTTCTGGCTTTTCAGGAGAAAAGATCTGTAGCTAGATTTCAGAATAATTAGATTTTAGATTGAACTAAAAAGTCTTTTAGCTTGCAATATCCTTGTTTAACTGAAGAAACTGCAGGTCTTTTAACTCCATTTTCCTTTGCTGATCCAAGAAGCCAAAGACTAAAACATGATTTATAAAGTTCAAGGTCAATAAATTCAAAGTATAGTTTTCTAACTCTATCAGCAACTTTTTTCACAAATTCTCTAAGGTCTCTATAGTCAACGAATCATGCATATTTATATACAATATACCAACTACATTTATTAGTATTAGATGAACTGGCTAAGGCAAAAGCATCTAATATTGCAAGATGGTTTAAATCAGAATATAAAATATCAACACAAGTAATTAAGATTCTGGATAATAAATCTTCGCGAGTAATTTTATATTTATCTAAAAAAGGGAGTTCAGGATTCATTAAATCTGGCTTTTGCCTCACATTAATATCTAGAACCAGGAGAAGAAGCAGATTCTCATCAATACATTCATGAGTATCAGGGATTCTATAAACTTCAGATGGATGATTGACTACTATAAAACCTTTTTCAGATACTCAAATAATATATTTTGAATAAATCTCTTCAGGATGATAGGCACCTAAAAGAGAGATATTATTTTTATTATTAGACAAATATTAGAAATATATATGATTATTATAGCCAAACTCATAGTTAAGGTCCACTAAACCAGAAAAAAGCCTGGTTGCTTCATTTATTATTTTAGGGCTTAGCCTAGCATTTTTTTGCACAAGAAGCATAATACAATGTATGGAAATATTAAGTATAAAATTATATGTAAATTTCCCAAATATTCATAATAAAAATTTTGAACGAATATGCTTATTAGTAAAATACTGGGTCAGTAGTAGTATCTAAAAGTAGTCGATATAATAGTACCCAAAAGTAGTCAATGTGGTAGTACCTAAAAGTAGTTGATGTAGTAGTACCCAAAAGTAGTTAATGTGGTAGTACCCAAAATTAGTCGATATAGTAGTACCCAAAAGTAATTGATATAATAATAACTCAAAGTAATCAGGAATAGACGAAAACTAGGGTATAAATTTACAGTAGTACCTAAAAGTAGAATTATATAGAAATAAAATAAGAAATTATGCTTTTGGGTACTACCGCTGATAGGCAGGAAAAAGATCAGAAAGGTAGAAAGGTTCAGAAAAATACACAAAAAAAGGTATAAAAGCAATATAGCCTGAACTAATTTAGCATTTTACATGTATCTAACTTGCAGTAATCATACATAGGAATACCCTAAAATAGTAACTATATGAGAAAAAAATCTAGGAAAGCTCAGACGAAAATAAGAATATAGATTTGGTAGTATCCAAAGGTAGAATTATATAGAAATAAAATAAAAAATTATGCTTTTGGATACTACCGTCAATAGGCAGAAAAGAGATCGGGAAGGCAAAAAGGCTCAGGAAAATGCACAAAAAAGGGTATGAAAGCAATATAGCCTAAACTAATTCAGCACTTCGTGCCTCATTCTCAGCAATCACGAAAGGCAGGATTGTAAGAATGGTATAATACTGGCACTTCGCAAAAACTTAACAAAGTACTAATAAATAGGTACATGCGAATTGAACTTTTTTATATGTAGTACTCGTATAGATATTATCATGTCTGATATTTACTCTATATTCAATTAAGATGAAATATGATAGAAACACTTACAAAATATGAATATACTTTATAATATGAATAAGATAAACATTATGCTTACTCATTTTGTAATAATGGTCTAATAACATCTCGTAAAATTATGAAAAGCATTTTGGATGACAGGTTTTTGTCATTTCTATCACTAAAATTTTGCATGATAGGCTGTCATTGAAAATAGAGGTAGCAAATTAACCGCGCTATCTGTCATCTTTTTTTACACCACTTCAGCCCTTAGAAAGGCAACCAAATAGGTGCAAAGGGAAAGCACTCTAACATAGAATCTAGCATCTAATCAGACACAGGAGGCTAGCATCCTCAATATAAAACCAGATATCGAAACAGTTAAAGCAATGCTATAAACGCAAAGGAGCAATAAAGTAATAAAAAGGTCATAGAACATGAAAACAAGTAAGTAGGTAACAGTTTAATGACAATCAGGTAACAGTTTACTCAGAACTAGATAACATTATAACAAAACTGGATAACACTCTTATAAAAGTATTATCCAGTAAAATAAATAATAAGTAAATCACATGATCGAATGTCAGGAGACTAGTTTGCTTATTTTTTGCAATTATTTGATCAATTTTATGTATTGACCTTATAAAAAATACTTGCATATAGCTCTTAGTAAAATCTTTAAAAGTCACCTTACCTTTATATATATATTTCAGATCCTGTAAAGCCATATTTTATAATATTTTAAATACTTTTAATGTTTTCTAAAAAGAAGAATTGGTAAAGAAAGGTATAGTAAATATGTGTTAAATTTCACAAAAAAAGACTATTAGAGATTTAGCCTAGTGTATTATCTGAGATACTATTAGCAAAAAAGACATAAAAATTATAGCAAAAGCCTTAGCTAAATCTGCTTCTAATGTTAATATCAGTTTATCATGAATCTTTAGGTTTCAAAAAGAGTTGCAAAATCTCAAGCTTCAGAAAAAATTATTTCAGCTACATTGATTCAAGACATAATCTGCTTATCTAATAAAATTCAAAAGAAAAAAGGTTTGCTATACAAAAATGAAAGTATTAATTACTCAGATTACCTTGTATTAGAATCAGTTAAGAAAATATTGGATGTTTATAATGTATCTAAAGTTTCTGACTTATAAATATAATAATAAGACTCTACATCTATCCTGCTGAAATAAAAATCCTGTATATATTTAATGGAGATGTAACTGAATATGCAAAAATCTGAGAATAACAAGACATTTCTTAAATATTTAGATCACTAAAAAAGAATAAGAAGCAGACTAGTCAATTGCTTACATAGATTTAGAAAGTAATTTCTTTTAAACAATTATGAGACTCTAGAAAGCATAGAGTCAGGGACTCGTAAAATTTTCAAAAATAAATTTTTTAAAATAAATTTTTTTTATGATATTTTACGTAGAAAGAATATTATTGGCTAAATAAATCAAATTAAAAAAAATATAATTGGCTATCATTTATAAAAAAAGATCTTAATCTATCTTTTTTTATCTTTCGTTGCAAATATATCACTTAAACTAAAATGAGTTACTCTATATACTCGTCAAAAAAAATTTTTAAATACTTTTGATATTTTTAATAGCTCCCTTATATGTAGGTTTTGTAGGCATTATGTTAGTTAAGAATATAAAGTTAATATTTTTTCACATATAAAAAGCAAAATTTATAT